TGTTTCTCAACCTTGGCAACTTTAAGATGTGTGGACTTCAACTCCCAGAATTCCCCAGCCAATCTTGCTGAAACCTTGATCTTCCCTCCATCTGATGAAACCTTGATCCTCCCATTCCTGTCTTGCCTCTTCCTTCCCAGGCTATATAGTGATGGTCTCTTTAAGAACCACAATATGCATCTATGGGGTGGAGCAACTTAAATACCAGGCCATAACAGCTTCCTTAAAGCCTTGCTCTCCTGCCAGCCTTTTCCTGAACAGTTCTTGTAAGGGAATACTCCAGCTCGTTGTATCTGCTTTGCGCTGTCCGTGGTCCTGACAGCTCTGTGTCTTCCATGTGGTCTGTCTTACCTGATGTAACTCTGCATTATGTGTTGTGGCATAGAGTTCCCTGTGAGTAGCTAGGCTGTAGCTCCTTTCCTCTGAGTCTCCAAGCAAACATGATTTGGTGGGAGAGAGCCTCCTACCTCTTCAGAGTGTGTCCTACACTGCCTGAAGTCCTCCCCCATATGGATTTCTCCTAATATCCAATCAAACGTGCTTTCCTGCTTTTTCCACTAATTATATTAATCCTGCCCTCGAAGCAACAGAAGAGTGTCTTGCCACTCCATTTTCTGCATTATATTCTTTCAAATATTTGAAGGGAACTAGGATGTCACTAATTCTCTTCCCCAGGCAAACTATACCATTCCTTACAGAACGTGATTTCCAGCCTCCACTGCCACCTTGCTGACCTCCTGTTGACCTATTCCAGTTTGCTAACGGCCCTTTGAAAATATATTGCTCCAAACTGGTCATAGTTTTCCAAGTGCAGATGAAAAGTATAATAATAATACTTTATTGATTAACCATTAGGCCATATCAGAATATAAAATACAAGATACAGAACTATAATAAGACCATGTGTAACAAAACAGAGTAAAAGACAGGACTAAAAGGAAATGCAAATCATATTGCTGTGTCACCCCTACCATTTACCTCAATCAGATCCACCAATGCAGTTCTCAGTTGTACTGTTTTATTCAGATAAAGGGCCATGTTGTATGTAATATTTGGGTTCTAGCCACAAATGAAATATGTTGTTTTAATGTATGCAGATGAATATAGTATTATTTAGTTATTTATTTATATATCACATTTGTCACCGCCCACCTCGTTGAAACAACTCTGGGTGATTTACAGCAAAGATAAAATTCATTAAAATACAATTTTAATGTTAGGTTTTCTGGCCATCATCTAACACTCAATTTGATATTCACTTAGAATGTGGTCCGTCAATGTGGTGCCCATTGGTACCAGGGTGCTCAAAGAGAAGTCCTTTAGTACATGCCAAACCTCCAGATCTGTCATTGTTTTACATTCTTTTAATTTAAAAAAACAAAAAGTCAATTGCTGCAAAGCAAAATGGCAAGTGTGAGAGTTGGTTCTCTGATGGGTAAGAAATCTAGTGGCTATTTCCAAAAAATCAACAGGTGCGGGACCCTTCTTCCCCAGGTAGGCAAGCCTCCTCTTCCTCTTTACACTGAAAGGGCTTGAGAAAGAGAACAACCCACACCAAGAGAATGACCTGGAGAATGACTTTCTATTGAATTTACAAAAGAGGTTTGCTAAAGCCTCAAAGAAGCCTTTGGGGATGGGAGAAAGAAAACCTGAAGCGAGACCAAAACCTACAACAACATCTGAATGAATTAAAGATCAAGATTGTCAGAAGTAAAAGGAAGGAATATAAAGTTGGCTTGTTTGACCAAGGTGAAAAGCTTCTATAAAGCTGTGGTAATCCCTTACGGACTTTTTGCTGACACTAGGACTGAAAAGTTGATGATTTAGGGATTTGAATATAGATAAGAGATGGGTTATGGGAAGAAGAGATATGTGTTTATAACCTTATCGGGGGTGAAGAATTATTCAGTTTGCTTAAACTTGTGACGAAGATTGGATATATATAAAT